TGGACGGCCACAGAATTATAGACGAAAGCAGAAGGTTCACTTTCAATGTAAACAAAAAAAAAAAAAAGAGACGGCCAAATGGTTAAGTCTATTTAGTATTAAATAATATATGTATGAGTCAATAATATAATATGTTTATATTATATATTTATATCTATGGACAACTAAAAATATCTTGACCGGACGCGTTTGCCAAGTTATTAAAAATTTGAAATTGGACAAACACAACAATGTGTAAACAATCGAATGTCGACAAAAAGTAACCGGATAGAGTGAGGTTTCCATCGATTTTGGACGACGGCGGTGAGGAACGATTTGACACGTCAAACTTTTTAGGTCTTCGGGTATACCTCGAATTAAAATATGCTTTCGATAGCCTGCAGTCCTGAAGAAAAACGGGAGCAACAATAGGATACCGAGTCAAAAATATAATTAAATTGAAAACTTGGAAACAGACAAAAAAGTCGTATTTTCCAATGTCGACAGACCAGCGAGTGCGCTTTGAAATATGCTATGAAAGTGCTACCCACTTCAATTTTTTTTTTTTATCGAGTTAACGCTCCGATAACAAGCATTATTACTTATAAGACTTGTGTACACAAATGATAAGTACGCATATTTTATTATATTTTTAATTTCGAATTCCAAAAATCCGTACGAATCATTCGGCTAAAAGTTTACCTTATTGGTTTTAATTTTTTAAGCAAAATACAATAAATTAAGCCGTATTACAATATATATTATTATTATAAATCAGTTTTCAAAGGTTCCGGGAAGTGCAAAACCCGGTATTTCGGGATTATACACTTGACCGCCTATTTCATCAATATTCTATGAACGGTTCAATGTGATAATATCGTGTAACGTATACAGTGTGTATTTGACAAGCCCCTAGCATCATTGTTGGTCAGAAAATGGACGGACGACCGAGGGGACTACGCTCGATTGTTGTGCGTTTGCAATAGGTTTATCTCGAAGTCAATTATTATTATTATTATTTTTTTTTTTTAGATTGATTCAAAACATAGCTGTATAAATGCCATAGCCGAGTTGTGTACAATACAATTTAAGAACACGAACTGGTGTTGTTGTCAGTCTACTGTCGAACCGCAACCGTCGATTTTGTGAATTTACATTTAGATAAGCCGTCATTGACGAGGTTGTGTATACAATTATTATCCGGCGATGTAAAACTCACGTTCCCGGCGCGTCCTCAAGTCTGTCAAAGAAAACACACATGAACATTGTACTTAGGCACACGCATTGGTTGGCCTTGTCGGTGTTTACATACGCAACGCACATATCTCACCCGTGTCTCTGTACGGTCTAAGTTATAATAGGTTGGCACGTAGTCGTTTTAACGCTGCCGACACAGCGTACAAACACCTAGCTATAATGGGTCTACTGTCAATATGTTTTTACTGTGCTGATATACACAATGATGTGTGCTTGTTAACGAGACAATAGAACGATTTTTGTTTTTTTCAATCATCGTTTACTATAGGTATACTGTTGTCGTTGTAAAGAAATAAAAATGAAAAAAAAAACATAGAAATCTTCTTTTCCTCATGCCCGGTCGACCACGATCAGACGCTTAAACACAATGGAGGAATGGGCAACGAAAAAGCAATTATACGATTGTTCCGACATGAAAAATTAATTTTATATCCGTCGCAACGTCCTTTTTGTAATGGATTCCCGGTACAACTGTGTATTTTCATTGGTATCAGATTCGGCGGTCTTAAACATTGACAAGGGATTTAATATACATTTTTTTTTTAATATAACTTTATTTTTTATTATCAAACCGCAATTCTTCGTTTCCGAAACGTTCTTAATGGAGGGAAAAAAATTAATACATTTTTGTTTTCGCCGATTATCATCATATTGTATATCTGGTATAAATTCGTTTTCCACCTTAAAGCTTTAACCGAAACGTCGCGGTTGTCAAACATAAAGAATACGCCGCACTACAAAATAAGATACAAACTAAGGCGTTAGACGTGCCATCATTTTTCAATAGCGCAGACGAACCTATATTATCTAGGTTAGCTTAGCCTCATGACCTAACTTCAAATTAATCGAATGATTCGAGTCCAACATAATATTGCTCAACATGTAAATGTGGGCGATTTCGAGATTATAGTCGCATATTTTCTACCAAGAGATCTAGTTGTTGTGGGTATCAGAGGGGGTAGGAGGGCTTTATCCGTTGACTACGCCTTTATAAAGTAATGGCAATTAAAATTAAAGGAAAAAACAAAAGCAAATTTTATAATATAAAGAAAACTACAGATGCATTTAACCGTACGTTAAATTTACTAAAAATGTTGTAGCAAAAAAAAAAGATGCCCGTTGTTATACATAAAATAGATATATACATTAAAAATATATTTTTTTTTTTGAAAAATTTAGATGTACATAACAATATTTCAAATGGCAATATTCTACATATTTTTTAGAATTCTTGGAAGCTATTAAGATTCAAATTTAAAATGCTAAGTTATAGTTATGCAAAATTCAAAAGCGTTATAAATATTTATACGTCGTTCCTGAAAAACAATAAACAAAAACATGATTTTAAATACATCTGACGTGTAAGTTAACTTTTATTACGTTGTTTTGCAACCGACCGCATCTAGGCTAAAACGGTCATATCCAGATGCAAATATTAATGTTAATCGTCAAGCTCGCTGATAATTTAGTATTCAATAAATTGTAGGTATAGGTTCGATATATGGGCTCGAGTAGTCAATACGTTGGCTTATACCTATATAGTGTTGTGGACGTTTACAGTTTACTGACCTAAACGACTTGGCGTGGATGTGACGTTGAGTTATTCAATTTGAGAGACACCAGCCAGTGTATGTAATATGGAAATATTTAAATCGAATTCAATTGTCTATTGTAGTTATCCGCTAATCAAAACTGACACAAAGTCACGGGTCGTTTACCTGTCTTCGACCGTCGTGTCGTCTACTAGTGTGAAAAAAAAAAGGAAGGGGGAAAGAGACACGTCTGTTGTTAAAATGCATGTATTTGTTTGTGCTTTTCGGTTTAATTCGTCACAGATCATTCGCTTAGGGATGTAAATTGTAATCGAATTAAAGCTCGCACATATTTAATATCGTCGTGCAATAGAACGTTAGTCAGCGTTTAATTGCTGATTCTATTTATTGCTAATGTATTAGCCTGTAACCCGGCTGCTTATCGGTTAGAACATAATAATAATATCTTTGGTAATAGTTAAAAATATAAGGGTTAACACTACATGTAATGTCAAGCTGGGAAGGACAGGGTTTTACACCACTTCATCATCGACAGGACCCGTTTATAAAGCAATTAAGTAAGATTAAGATTATTACGTAATTTTTATCTGCACTGCAGTTTATTTATTTGTTTAAAAAATATATGAATTTAAAATGAATATAAAGGTTATGATTTTACTATAGGCATATTCCCTCTAACATTATTTTGTTAAAAATATGTTTAAAAAAATCATTTTTTTTAACTATTCACTTTATTAGGTTTAAAATTTTAAATTACCGAATGAATCTTTTCAGTATAAAATATTTGTTTTTATTAATAGCTTACAAATTCATTTGAGCTATAATACTATATACCTACATAGAAATCCAAAATTTACCATTGTTTAAACGATTAAGGTTATTGAGAGATGAAGAGAATACCTATCTAATATTAGCTATACATAGTTTTGGCTTTAGCCATTTATTTTAATTTTTTAGACAGAACGCGCCGAGTGTTCATAAAAAGCCGTTAAGGTTTTTGGGATTGAAACCCTTTTGATGAAATTGGTGTATAAAAAAATTAACTAGCCGGTTTTATTTAATTCAATAGAGATATGCCTTGCCAGTAACACTCATAAACCATCCAGTTCATCTCTGTCGAGAAGACTAAATCTGGTATCGAAATTTAATCAAGAACACATCCGTAAGAAATGTCAAGTTATGGGGATGTATTAAGTTGCCGGAATATATAAAATTCCCAAGAGCCGGATTGTTAAGATACTTTAGGTGGCATGCCAATGATTATTTTGTACTAAGACTACCTTCAAACAGAAATATATGCGGTAGCTGGTAGAAATTAGAATGCAATCTCTGTCACTGTGACAAAATACATAGTATGTTTCTGAAACATAACTACAGTTGAGTTAAAATGTTTAATATTCTCAGCAACATAGTCGTTATTTAGGTAAAGTTCAACCGATTTAAAAATGTTTGTTAATTATAAACTACTAAAAAATAATTGTTTACTAACTTTAAAAAATGCACAGTTTTATTCTGAAACATACCGAGTAGAACACAATACAGGGTAAACGGTAAAGTCGTGGCCAAACTTACGGTCCAAATAAAAAAAAAGTATAAAGATGTCGTTTGCAAATTATTTTTAAAATAGTTTTCATTAAGCAAACAATTTAAAAAATCGTTTGGATAATATGTGTTTAATTATGTTTTCCAAAACCAAAAGTTATAATTAAGTTAAAAAAATATGTTATAAATGTAGGTATATTAATAATCATTATTATATTAAATTTATATTTTAATTACTAATGAAAAATGTCAATAATAATTTGATTTAGGATTTTTAATATTTTTATTTTAATTCAAAATGTTTTAATCTAATAATGGATGTTTTTTTTTTTATGTAAGAGACCAACAGTTGATATTGCTAGGTCCGTACGAGGGCCATAAGGTTACTACTACCCGTTTGATCACCCTTTATTGTTTTAAAGTAAACAACTTCTTGAGTTTGAATAATACTATGGACATAGTTTTAGTTTTTGTTTGTTAGAAGGTGGGCCCGTGCACTCGGTCCAGTAGTGCGCACCCTCTTTCCGAAGTCCTACATATTATTAACCCTTAACTTGGCAAGGCCTAATTTTTAAACATCCAAAATAATTTTAAAAATAATCTTTTTAGATTGGTAAAGATACAATTCAAGGGTTGATGTTATTATCTACGATATTTATTTTCGGTTACCTTCGATGAGCCGCCTAAGTTGGTCCAGCGCTTCTGCCCGTCTTTCCGGGGTTTCCCTCAGCTCGGTCTCGGCTTTTTCCCTGTATACTTCTTCCAAGTCGGGTTCGTCTTCGAATCTGAGAGCGTACTCCGATCCCATTTTCACGCAAGCCGATCCGTCCTTGTTGACTTGCATTTTGTTAAAAAAAATTGCTTATCAAACGGACTACCGTGGACGGCGAATAATTTCAATCGAACGTGATAGCTCGGACGGGATAAATTAATTTTTTTTTTTAATTATACAGATGTGTATATTTTAAACGGTTATTGATTGAAAAGATATCGGTGCGTCGATCGTCCGTTTACTGTTGCTCGTCTGGCGCTCAAGAAGCATGTACTACGCACGAGTCGACCAACCGGTACAATGTGAGACGTCGTCGGCAGCAAAACGAATGTCTGAAGGTAGAAAAAAAAACAAATAATGATAATCGGAGAAAAATTGCAACACGACCCGTATGCGCGTCCCGTACCCGCAGTGTGCCGCCGCCGTTGTCGTTTTGGACTGGTTTTTTATTTTTATTTATTTTTTACATTTATTATTATTATTGTGTTCAATCTGTCGGAGGGGTAGAGAGGGGCAACGGTCAACGAGCCTATCGCGGCAGCGACGGGTGTGCGTGTAGACCGTGTACGCGTGTAATAATAATAATTAACATCGGTTATTGTATTAGTGAGGTATACAAACTGGTACCATAATGTTGTATTACGCGGTATTCGCTACGACGGCTTTATTATTCGATATTGACGGGTTTGCAACGACGGATTCGTCCGCAAAAAAAAAAATATTATAATATATTATACTCGATTTTCAACTTTTTTCTACTTATTATCAAAACGTCATCGTCGTCAAAAATAATATTATTGAGGTTGGCACAGGCTCCGGACACTGATAAATTATTTGACACTGACATTATTATTTTTAGTTGTGTATAGACATAACATACAAATATACAATACAAAATAGACTTACAAAAATATGGTAGTTACATTTTTGTTTACATTGAAAGTGACTTTTGCTTTCGTCTATATTCTGTGCCGGAAAGGCACAGACAGTACTATACTACTATGAAAACAGATAGCCCACTCGGTCGAAAACAAAGGGCATTTTTCTAAAGACTGATTAGGGACTAGCCAAGTTATCAGTGTAGCCGCATGAATAGTATGAGTTATTGAGCAGATATTTTACAATATTATTGCACAAACTCCTTATCAATCATAATATTTAAATGACAATTGACTATATTATCACAGATTAGATAATTTATTTTTATTTAATCTGTTCTATTATTATGACATTTTAAACTTGAATCTGCGCCCTGCGGTCTGTTTTCATTTGGAGTCATGGTTTTTGTTTACATGCGGAGTGAGCTAACTGTTTCCATATGAAGGGCTGCGGGGAAAAAAGATCAATGACAATTATTTTTTTGGAAAATGATATTTTGGTATTAAATTATTTGTATTGAGGTATTGTATCTATTATGCACTCGAACCAGGGAAAAAACAGATTAGACGAGAGTAACGACCGCCGGATGTTTAGGCATACAGACAAAATGTATTACGTTTTGAAATTAAAAACATGATTTTCTCAGAATGAACAAAAATTGACATTGGTCTTTTTTCCCAACAGCCCTTCATATAGTCTGTGAGCAAAGTGTATCCACTCGGATGATGAGTCCATCTTGAGACTTTGTAACGATCCTTGTCGGTATCGAATAACCGGCGATAAATAATGTTTGTACAACGTACTAGTAATTTTTTTTCGTTTTGTACTATATGTATATTAAAATTTACAAATTATTATGAAATCATAACATTTAATGGATTATTTTCTGACATTTATCTTTATTCAATTCAGGTACTTACAATAATAATATTATTCTCACGTATAGGCGTAAATAATATTATTAACATCTCTCAGTGTGATATACCACTCAAACTCTGACTCAAACCTATAGTTATAACAAAACAAATGCATCTATTTGAAATAATTCTCCATTATTGTTTATAGTAGCTTATTTCAGTAATATGTTGGTAATACAAAAAAGTATTTTAAATACATTAAAAACTGATAAAAAAATGTACATTTTAAAAACTTCCTTCTAGATTTCCGAATTTAACTGAAAGCTTAAAAAATTCTATTGTTACGTTATTTTAATAATTGAGGAGAAACCAGAAAAACCCAAAAAATACGATTATATAAAAATATATCAGTTAAAAGTCTGTGTCTATCGCTGGCGATGTCGTCGTAGTTTTAAAGGTACGAATTAATTGCCGTTTGTCCTTTTTAATATTGTTTCAGTTTTACCATCTATCGTAGCATAGTATTCTTAGTGGAGCTCACCGCTTAATGTTATTTATACAAATTTAAAATATAAAAATTAATTATATAAACGAGAAGTTCCGCCACTGGGCGGTCTCTCCACAAGTTATTCAAGTTATGTATATATTATTTTATCTCAAATACTTATTGTATGTTTTATACAGATTGTATTTTATTTTAATAAAAAAAAAAAAATTATATAAATTATAATATGTACCATAACAATGTTAAATAGAAACCTCAATGCAAATTAAAATAACATTGTGGTTTTAATTCAACTTCATAATTCAATTATTGTCAGTTTCAAACTTCATAAATAACGATTACTGCGTTTAAGTTAAAATTTAACAACGGATATTAAATGTGGGTACTTTTTGTTGTTTAACGAAAGGCTATAAGGTAAATTAAGTTTGTTATAAAATTAAGTAAACTTATTTTTAGCTGTAATGGAAGCAATTAAAATGATTAATTTCAAAAGTTGGCGCTTGAATGAATACTAATACTTTTACCATTCGTATTACTTTTGTTTCACAAAATTATACTTACATCTGCTCCGTTTATTTACAATTTCCTCAAATACTTAAAATGAAATCTTACTAAGAGAATGGTTATAAACGTCCCGTGGTTTATATTAAAGTCCTAGTCATTCAAACCACCTACGTTAAATTTAGTGAAACCGGATTAGAATTATTTAATAAGAATAACGGGAGTACAATTGGAGACAAGATTTAAAACTGGTCAATAATTATAATATTATGGTTACAATTATACACCTGACACAATCGTGGACTACTTATTATAAGTTTAATGTAATATAATAAATAATTATGTATTATTATTTATTTGTTGAAAATGTGTTGGATGAAAGTCTGCATTGTGTCTTCTGGTATTTACATTATACTAAAAGTTTTAACAATTATTCTATCAAACAATTTTATTTTAAGTTAAAATAATGTTTGTTTTTGTATTAAATAATTATATTTATTAACCTAACCTTTGGTCGAAGATGATTTTTTACTAGCTAGCCAAGTTTCTAATAATATGTTCTTTTAAACTCTTAAATTGTTACAAGGTTTGCTGTTTTTAAATGTTTTAATTTCATTTGTTTGTTTTGTACGTCTTTTGAAATTAAATTTCAATGCTGTACTTGTAAATATCAAGTGTTAAATAAAAATCGAAGACAACGATTATTATTTACAATAAAGTTATAGATAATAATATCGAACGGCTTTAAATGAAAGTAATTATGTCACTTTCGATGAATTTTATTACTTTTTCTAAACCAGTTGTTGCTTTAAAACCAGTGACAGTCCTCTAAACCCATTGATAACCAACTATTAAAACACTTTTTTTTTCTTTTTTGGCCATTTCCGTGTATATTAATAGTTATTGTAAAATTTAACTCGCACTGTAAAAACTATTTATACCTGTTTCCAACCAATTGTCCTACACTGTATGTCTTTATCTTATTACATGCCAATTTCACTTAGGTATATTTTGTTAAGTATATCGTTAATACAATTACTTAGCCCAAAAGCAGCAAATTGGAACAGCCATACTACTTATTAGACATTGGCAACATACTTGTTTTGCAGAATATTGCAAGTTGGTAAATTATAATTTTTAAAAAGTGCTTGTTCAGTATCAATGGTTAACTTGTTACTTGTATATTTAAGCTGTTATAGTGTTATCTCGTTTACCGATACTGACTACTGTGTTATAATATTCGTGTAAATTGGCTAGGTTTTATTTTAATATTTTTGTCATTATCATTAACAGTGTTGGTCGAGTTTTTAAAACAGGCCAACTTGCAAACAATATCTATAAACTAACAAATACATACGTCTTGACATTTTTTTAAGGTATGAAGCATATTGAATTCAAAGAAAGTTGCATGTCTATGCAGGAATACAATGTCTTTAGTAATAAAATTACTTTCAAATAATTGTTTCGACGCTAATTTGTAGCTGATGTTAAAAAAAGTACTTAATATCAATAAAAGCATAGTTAAGACAATAATGTGCTTTGTTTGCCTATTCTAAAATTGTGTTACCGTTTCTAACCATTTACCGTAAGTAAAAATTTAATACAAATATTTACACATATCAATCTGGAAATTCATTACGACACGAGTCGATGAATTTTTTCAGTTAACCCTGTAAATATAAAAAAAGTCTGACTTTTGAGAAAATTGCATATGTTATAGCCCGTTTTAGAATTATGTTCAGTCTAATTTTCAGAACCTTATTTCTACGCTCGAAGAAATAAGTTTCCATTGTTCTAGTGGAAAAGTGGTTTTTTTTTAAATGTTGGATTGTCAACGTTTACGGTATGTCGACAGTAATAAAGAATAACCTAAAGAATATCTCGCACAATTTTGGAAGTAATTAGGCTATTTAAAAGAAGCCACCGTAACTTTAAGCTGAGGAACATGTCCCCTTGAAAAAGGAAGGGGTAGATTAAAATTTTTTTTTGTTTTCAAGTACCCTGTAGTCTTAATTTATTGGCGATTTAATAAAATATCGTGGGTCCAGACACAAAAAAAAAAAAAAAACAATAACATATCTCTGCGGGGCATTGTCACTCAGCACCTGAGGTTAAGCTGTGTCCGTTGCCACTTGATCCCGGATGTGACCACACGTGACTTTTAGCGGCAGCCCAAGCCATGAACCCCACCTCACCCGTGTTTCACACTTACCAACCAAATCCTAACCCAAATCAACCAAAAACACTAACAAAAAAAGATAATGACTTTAGTAGCTGAACCTAAAAAAATTGTTTAAAAAACAAAAGCTAAAACAGTTTTAATAAAAGTAAAAATAATTATTATAAATATAAATTTGTATAAATTATTCGTTTTGATGTAATACTCTCTAATAAATATATTGGATATTATTTCCATGTATTTCTCGATAAACTAGGTCGAACGTTTACTGTATAAATGTTTAATGTTTTTGCGATTAATTATTGTATAATAATAATTAACAATTATAATTATATTTATATAGGATGTATCGGAATAAACGTCATGCATTATAGAATAATTTTTTGTGTCATATTTTCAAGTTCAAAAACAAAAATGATAATAATTGTTGTGAATTAATTGTAGGTTCGATGTGGAGCTGAATAGTGTTAGCTAATTAACGGATTAGTTTTCAAATTATATTTTTAAATTATATATTTTTGGATCTACTATAATATTTTATTTCCCACATTCATTCTTCTAATTTCTTCATTCATAGTACTATTGTCTATTATTAACTCAGTAGTAGTACTAGTAGTATCCTGTGTTGACTCCTGTATCTTTTTAAAGAATACACATAGTGTTTCTAGAATAGTCTTAAGTATTTTATTGTACTTTTTAAATTTACAATCGTGTATTAAATTTGTAGATAATAATTTATGGCTTGTATTTTGCAATAACCAAAAACCGGATGTACTTCATTTAGATAAAATATTCGGTCATGTTCTAAAGTGCATAACTACTACTACTAGAAGACCTTACAGAAAATCGGAAAATAAATGCCAAACTTATTCAAAAGAAAAACTTTGTTTCTCTGACATAGTATGCGGTCTATAAATGATAGAAGTTTATTACTTATGCAATACCGACCAATAGTATATTTAAAATGTATTAAAACTTCCATTGACAATACAGACATTTTTTAAAAACGTATACGGAATTTGTTAATACATAAAATATAATAATATATAATGTATCCAGTTTGTTAAATTATGAGCAGTATTAACATTTTGAAAAAAAATTTTCTATAATCCTAAAGCGCATTTGCGTTTGTTTTACTCTAAATTATTACGCGTTAATTGGGCATTAACAGGGCGGTGACCGTGTTAATGAATCGCTGATCGTGCCCAGCTCCTTGACTAACTGTTCCAGGTTCCTCGGTTTTCCTTTGGAACAATCGTCGAGTGTTTTGCAGTCACCCGTTATTGTATCCAATACTTTACAGAAGTCGGCCAGCTGGTTTCCGATATTTTTGTTGGGGCAGGCGTTCATAGAGTTGGACATGAGTTTTTGGCTGAACTGCAGGTCGGCAATGGTCCTCTTTAGCTCGCAAACGTTTTCTGTTTCATCCGTGCACAACTGTCTCGTGTTGGTTAGGTCCTCTTCTAGCCGACAGATTTTCCTGACCGTTGAGTCTAATTTAAATTGCAGTTTGTGCTTCTCGTTGAAGATCGACTGGACTTCCTCGTCAGCCGCCAGCCTTTTTGCTTCGTTGCGTTTATTCGTCGCTTCTAAAGTATTTTGTAAATCTCTAACGGCCTTGTTCATTTTGTCGTTTTCGCATTTTAACCGTCCCGACTCTTTGGTACACACATCCATTTGGCAACTCAACGCCTCCACCTTAGCTTCTAAACAACATTTGTCTTTCTGGAGATTTTCTACGTGCTCGTCCGCTCGAGATCTTTCATTTTCCAGAGTGCATTTCAGTTCGTCTTTGAGCTGTTTCAGATCCAACGTTTTCTTGTTCAGCTGCTGTATTTTATAGTTTTGCCCGAGAAAAACGTGTTCCATCTCCACTTTTTCTTTTTCCATCGTTTCGATCTGCGACTCCAAAGTTTCCTTTTCTTTAACAATTTTCTTTTTCATCATTGCGGTTTCGTTTTTCAATTGCACGTAGTTTTCCCGTTCTAAATCCAACTTGCTGTTTAATATTCTCAAATCCGATTGTATATTTATTAGTTGCTCTCTCTGTTCTTCCGCCGTTTGCTTGTTCCTATTGTTCTCTTCGGATTTCTGTTCCAAGCACGCCTTTTGACTCTCGATTTTACATTTTAACTTGTCTATATTATTCAATTCTTCGCATAATCTATTTTCTAGAAATAACATTTTTTCTTCCAAGTGTTCGTTTTGTTTTATTAAGTGTTTTGCACGGTTGTTGAGTTTCATGTTTTTTTCGTTCAGTGCTATAAGTTCAGCATTAGTACCCGTTATCTCGGACTTACGCCTATCCAAATCTCTTGCCGTGTTTTGATACATGCACCACAACTCCTCGTGCCCTTTCGTTAACTGAACAAACATATCTTTTTGTTTCTTTATTATGTCTTCCATGTACGCAGACAAGCCGCCCAACTGTTTTTTTATCTCTTCCTTTTCTTGCACGACCTCATCGAATAGCGATACTTTTGTTTCCAATCGTCTTATGTAATATTTTAAATCTCCTACATTGTTTGTTGCCTCACCACATACACTTTTGTTCTATAATTACAAATATCAATAAACACCAAGCAACTAGTCATTTTTTTTTTCCTAAATTAAAATTTAATAATTAGACAACTACTTACACAACTCACAGACGAAATCATTTTTTTTTTTTAACAATTGTTCCGATGTTAAATTTTGAATTGTCCAAAAACGAATTCTACTAGGTGTATTTTGACAATATAACATTGTTTATTATTATCTATATAAATGAGACATTTACATAGTGACAGTACAATTAGCCAGAATATCTAGTCGTTAGTTATCCGATCCAGTGAGTTAGAGTTGTAACTGAAGATTTTAAGTGCCAATTGTATGTATAATAATAATAAATAATACAATAAATTAAACTCAAGGCTGTTGATTTCAAGGTTTCAAATTAAAATTTAAAAGTCAACACAGTGGGTTTGAAAGTGAACGCTCCGATGAGACTCTATAGAGAAGTCAGCATGAATTAGCACATATTATTGAGTCATTGTAATCAGAAATGTAATCCTCGGATTTATTTGGCCAGTTTTATTGAAAGCAGTTTGCTTACAATCTTAAAATAATTATCTGTCTCTGTTATAATGTGCAGATGTTTTAAAGATAAAATTAAGTACACACTCTAGCTTGAGACTAAGAGCTGAGAAGGGAATTTAATGGTGTCTTCTATGGCTAGAACTACGTCACCTTTTAAACGTATGGACAAACATCTTCATATAACTACAACTTACAAGGTCATAATATGGATTTCATGATACAGATTTATATCAACACTATATAATGCATAAGTGCTAAATGAAGACAATATAAATACTTTCTGAAACAAAATAAATTATAAGTAATGTTAAAAATAATATGACACCAAACTTTTAACAATTATCATTTTAAAAGTAATTATTAAATACTAGGTTTCAACCAGTAAGTGTTCACAAAATTATTTTTATCAAAAAAAAACTACTTTCATGTTTTTGTTTAAGTTACAAAAGTTAACAGCGCTCTAGAAAATACAAAAAAAAAAAAATTTTGGTTATTGTACAATACCATTAATAAAAATATTTTCTAAGAAAAAACAATAAAATTGTAATTATTTTCGGAGACATTGACTTACGTCAAATGGATCACTCTATACTTAGTTAGTAACAATATATAAAACTAAAACTAAAATTATATTATTGAAGAACCGATTTGCTGAATAGAATATAAAGAAATTATAGTAGACTGTCTAGTAAAAAAATAATTTCAATCACATGATTTAGAGAAAAATCTGTTAGTTGATTGATTTTTTTATTTCAGTTATCGGCTTTTAACCGGGTACGAGAGAGTTTTCAAAAACCAAAAAAGTTATAAAAAAACCTAAACAAAAGTTCTCTATAAAACAAAAATTTTAAAATTCCATAAGAGCAGTCAACTAGTTCTTAATAAGTTTCATTAGAAATTTTATAAAAAAAGTTGGTTTGTTTATACATGTTCTAATGGAACTTAGTTTTAAACATAGCTATACATATAAGTGTTCTTCTAGATTTAAAAAAAAAACATAATTCTTAAATTTAATTCCTAATCTTTATTTATTTATTTATTTTGACTGGCGGGTAGCTCAATTTTAATGAAAATTATTATAGTATACAATTTTTAAAATACAGATCATCAGTTTAAAAAGAAACGATACAAATACACATTAAATCCATCAATAGTTACACATAGTGAAATATCGACATTATACTTATTTACTTATTTCATACATCTAATCACAGGAGCATTTATATTATAGTTTGTTGACTGGAATGGCAGATAAAAAGTATTAGACTGCCTAGTACTACGACTAGGAACAAAGAATTTTAAATTTGAAAGTAAAATCGGACAATAAATGTTTCCATTGTTTCCATTTTTTCATCTTGTATATAATATTGGTGTAGTATTTAAACTAAACTTAGATCAATTTTAAACGACCGTGTACGTATTGTTTCACCTGTAACTATGCTCCACATTTGTCGTTTATACATTTTTTTTTTGATCTTGTGTTGTAAAAATAATTATTTTTTATTTCAGATTTAATTTCTTCAACCTGTACAGCACTCATATAAAAAAAAAACGCTAAATATGTACTTTTTCCGTAGGGACGATTTATAATTTATTTAGCGATTATCTTATCTATTTCGCTTGTTTCCCGTTTAAAGACTTTGAAAGCTGGTCGCATTTGCACCGTTGTCTTAAAAGTCGATGAATATATAACGTAAAGTAGATGTTGTATGTATAAAAAATCCTGGAATTTTCATCAGGGATCCAAGATGGTGTCGAATCTACCTGTCAATTTAACGCGTCCGGTGGGTAGATGGACGGTGAGTGAATAAATAATTTATTATTATTAATAGATATTAAAATTGACGATAAAGCTAATCAAATATAATAAAACCTATAAGTATACTGGACAGTGTACACAATTTATCTATACTATATAATATATATATATACAGTTTTCTCCTTTAAAGGATAAAAAATCACATAGTGGGGCACTTCACAAAGTCGCGTAGTTCTTCAAGGTAAAAAAATGTTGTAAAAGACATTGCAATTCAATCAAAAATGTCTCCAAAATGCACAACAACAAAATAATTAATAAACCCACAACGCTCCTGGTCGTGTGATTATTAATCAAATACATCGAAAGTGCTGAGGTTAACTATGGGTGTATTTCGAGACTTCGTAATTAAACAGGATGAGTAATTAGAAAGCAGTGTCATTTTCGCTAAATAATTAATTAATTCGTAGTTTTTAGACATACTTTAGAGACTCGCGGAGGGAAAACGGCTATAATTTCCCACAGTTTTCACACGACTAGACCGGTATCGAATTGCAAAAACGGACGTAATACCTTCAATATCTTGACACTATTACCTTCTTTATTTTTATTTTTACAAACTCTATTGAAAAAATACAATGTAGCGGTGTACACGCATAAACACTTCTATGAGCAACGTTGTGTCTACAGTTAAAACATTGACGTCGTTGACTTATTAAAATTAGTACCTGTAATAATAGTTGGTACTGTTGAGTTTAATCAATTATAAATTTAAAGGTTAAGACACATTTTGTATATTATAAGAATTGTATTTATGAAGTCTCAAGTGTTAAATAAAAAATTCAAATAATTATAAAGTTCTCTTAAAAAACTAAAATGTTTTATTTAAATCAACTATAAAACATCATAGTACCTAAGTGATAGTCAATAAGTTGTGTTGTTTTCCTTCAGGGTAACATATTTTTATTGGAAAATAATATGTTAACGTTTGAAAGGTCAATTGATCGTTTAGTTTTTACGCAACCTACTGGAAATGTCAATAATGGACAGTTAAACTGAATGGAACACCTAAATAAAGTTTGAAAGTATTCTTATTTTTTAGTTATTTTTCAATCAGTTGAAGTTTCTTCTTTTATTCGACAAAATACAAATAAACTCATTTGAAGCACCTTACACCTAATGGAAAAAAACTTACTTAGAACCTACTTATATCATGTATGTTTTTCAATAACACAGATTGTGATTCTCATTGATTCAAAACTATACTCGTAGAAGCGAAATAACAATAACAATTCCCAGCCATTCTGAAGGAAAACGTTTATGATATTTTTTTGTTTGTCCATGTAGTGGATAGTATAAATTCGGTAATTTTTAAAAAAGTTATAGGGCGCTGTACCCAGTATTAATTTGAAAAATATGTACATTTTTAAGGTGTTTTTCTCGATTTTAAAAGGAGAAGGGATGAACTTTTAAAATATTTTGGCACATTAAAGTATCTTTTTGGTATGATTACAGTTCAGTGGTTTAAAAGCTGAAGATATTGTCCAAATACAAACATATTATTTAAAATATATTTAAAAAGAAAAAACAATGGAAAGTCAATGTCGTTGTAAAAATAGTATCTTCTCAGCTCCGCATAGAAGCTAAAAAATGAATACTGCTACTACGCTAATAAGGAAAACTTTGACGGTCTTTGTTTTGAATGCAGCAAAATGTTGAATAAGTCATAACGCTAATTTCGTTAAAAACGCTTTATTTCAGTCTGTGGTTTGTGTTGAGAAATAATTTATCTTGCTCATTTTTATTTATTCACCTAAGTATGCGTTTTAAGCACCTATTTACCAATATTCGTTTATGGCAAATACCCGGTAATGTGTTCTTATGAATTTTAATGTGCACGGCTGTGACAATTAAATTTCAACCGTGAGTGTAAATACTCAAGACCTGATTTATAAATAATTATTACACAAAATCTGTATCCAATTAGCGTTGACGTTTGACGATACGCTCGCATCAACCGAACCGTTCAAGCGATTCTAGAGAGATCGTGTTAACTTACACTCGGTTAGAATTGTTGTAATTATTTTGTATCCTCAACGAAGCTTAAATAATAATAACGTTAAATATATATAATTGACCACAAAAAGCGAATAAAAAAGCCGCAGGAAAAACTATACATAGATAATAGACTAGCTGTAAATGTTAACAGTCTTACAATTAGTGAAATTTCTTAATACAATATTGTACTAAATATATTGAGGGATACGTATAATATAATAATTAATGGCTTACATAACAAACCGCTTGAAATAAAAAAAAATGTAAAATAATAAACGTTAAAATTAAACATCCGTGTTAAGATAATTTCATAACGCTGGATTACTAATAGAGTAATATTAACTGTAGTAATAATTTTAAGAGTTTCGTCTCGTGCATCCCTTGAGATTATTTTACCAATTCTGCATTAGTGCGTATGTGTATTCTTTAACGCGATATTATT